AAAGATAACTCATTCTTCCAAAAGAAAGTAAGTTTTGCGAAAAAGTTTTAAAGTTCAATTCACCCCCCTCTTGAACTCAACCATTAATTCTTTCAAAATCGAAAAGAAACTTTCGATATTTTCGAGGATGAAACGGTGGCAGACTGCTTGCGTTTCCTGATGAAGGCCGATGGATCCGACTCATCGGAAGACTCTCAGTCCTTCTCCTTCTCAGAGGCGGCAGTCTTAGAAGTTTTCAAGACTGTCGAGAAAAGAAAAACAGTTAACTTGCAATACAAAGAAAACTAAAATATTCCTAAAAGAGGTAGCAAAGTCTCACCAAAAGGTGATAGAGTCAAAATCTTGACTCGGTCGATATGTACAAGCCAGGGAGGAAGAAGAATTTGAGGAAGGTTTAGGTAAGGGAAATAGGACAATTTCGATACAAAAATATCTTTGTTTTTGGGTTTGGGACGAAGAGTTTCTTTTAGGGATCTCAATTCTCGAACCCATTTGGGATGAGTTAGAGGTTTGGCGATCCCAAAGGGTGTTGTAGGAAAAGTGGGAAGGTGATCGGGACAATACATTTCAAAAGGGGTTTTTCCTCGAGGATTGATTATTTTGTGGTTCGATCGATTAATGTCTGTTTTGTTGGCTAAGGAAATAACAACATCATAGAAGGTCGATTCTAATTTTAAGGGGTTGTAACATATGTGATAAAAATTCTCGAATCGAGATATTTGGAGATAATGGGAGTGTGTACCTTTCTTCGCCTTCGATTTGTCCTGCAATACGAGAGAAGGATGGGCAGTCAATTTCTGTTGAACTATATCAAAATCAACATGATTATTCGAAAACCAATCGGCCCACCAATCTGAGAAACCGAGAGAAGATAAATAATTGGACTAAAAAATATAAGGGTAAAATTGCATCGGGTTTTTCGGCAGCAATTTGACGACCTCCCGTCCAACAGTCGATTCACTTAGTTTGGACCTTGAGGGGGTGTCGAGGGGAAAAAATGGTAAGGCCTGACTTAAACGAAACTGCCGCGAGAAAAGCTGAGGATAATAGATGATGAACTGAAGATCCTTTGATTGGAAACCCGATACCAACACGTCTTGAGTCAAATAGTTGCTCCATACTTCGACCAACTCTGACTGCAGCCACGGAGTAAGAGCAGGAAATTTCGATTTAAACCATGTTGGTCCTCGAAGTTGGTCACTGATTTTTCCAAGATGCACAGAAAAAGGGGCCAAATGCGACTCAAATCGAAATTGAGTTAACAAAAATCTGAGATAATTACGATAGGTGGTCTCGTCGGATTTATGGCGGGGATGTCGAGAAGTTAATTGAGCACCCTCTAAATTCAAACTCGGGGGGATTGTGGAGGTTGGGGGAAGTATACTTTCAAAAATCAAATTCAACCATAATTGGATAAACCAAATAGGACCTGAAAAATTTCCCGAGCCCTTGGGGGTATTCAAAATCTCGACGGCCTCATCAAAAGTAGTATAGACATGGGCTAACAAAAGTTTGGCTAAACAAATTCTAGGCTGGCCAGAGTGAAGGAGGTAGGCAAGGTTGTAAAGGTGGGATGAAATTTGGATGGATTGGGGGCAGAAAACATGAGTACATAGCCAATACACCAGGAAAACTATATGCTCCTCATTAGTTACAGCTATCGATTGGTCATCGACGAAATGCTTTTCGATAAAATGTCCATACGCCTTCGATTCCCAATCGATGTTGGACCTTAAAGAAGTATCCGAAGGAAAAGCACCCTTAAAATATGTTTCCCCTATGGGTTTCAATCCGGTAATGGCAGCAATTTCAAAGAGGGTGGGTGAAAGGGGACCACAAGGTAGTTCCAAAACATGCAAGTTTTTATTCCAAAGATGGATAGCTGATAGAAAGATAGCCATATCTAAATGAGATAAATCGCATCGAGACAGATGCAGAAAATCGAAGATCCCCACATCTCTCCAATGGTTCCCAAACTTGGTTTTTACTTTATCAAACCACCTAATATACAAAGGTTTTTTGTAGGGAGGACCCATTCGGTATACCCTAGAGACAATGCTTAGAAAGTCGATTCGCACCTCGGACTTGTGAAGAAGAGCTCTACTCTCTGAGAGGCTAAGGGAAGAGGAAAATGATCCGCCACAATAGCGGATAGGACCTCCAAAAGCGTAATTAACATTATCAGCAGTATAGGGAATGAGTACCTGCGTCTCAGCGATCTTCTGAGAAGCTTCCTCCATTAAAGGAATTGGAGCAAATTTCTGGTTATTTATCTCCAGTAAATTAGCGGTCACCGAGGGAAGTGGTGGGGCAGAGAAGTCAGAGGATTTGGATGAAGTTGTCATTTCAGTATTCGGTAGAGCAGATGAGGTGCAAGGTAGAAGATGAAGGTGCAAGGGAGGAGTGAGTGAAGTTCGTAGTGAAAAAACAAGGGTAAAAAGGTTAATAAGCGTTTAAAGGAAACTAACTGGGGTATTGGAAGCGACGGAGGCGAAAGGCAATTAATGTGACGTGTGCAGTGTAGCAGCAGAACTGACGTGATAGGAGACATAAAGTAGAAAGAACCCTAAAACCCCAGAAACCCTAAACCCTAAGTTATTGTGGGCCTCCAAACATATGAAAGCGGGAATCATGTTGAAAGAATATAAATATAAATATTTATATTCTTCCAAGGGGGCATTTTGTTAGTAGGAAATCGTTAAAAGAATCGAAAAATGAAGGAAAGAAAAATCGAAGATCATATGATTGGTAAAAGACATCGAGAACGTGCTTTTGATGAGATTGGTAAAGGACACCTGGTGACCAAAAAGATGGAAATATATCGAAAATTAAAATCGAGAATCGAAGAAATAAATTTCGATGTCTATTGTTGAAGAGAATTGAGGGATTAGAATAGTGCAACGTTAAGAATTAAAGGGAATCAGAAGCAAAATTTAAAATACTCGATGTCTTAAATCGAAATCGAGGGATGCGGAGAACACACAGGGAACATGGGAAACGATCTCTAAACCACGACAGAGATCGAAGGTTAAAGGAGCAGTTCTCTTTTACGTGAGAACGTGGAGTGCAGTTTTTTAAACTATCAGACTAAGGGTACGTGCACGTAGGATCGTGATGACAGTTTTGTTAACCGCTCTTAGGAGGTTATCTGAAGGGCGCCCTATAAATAGAATGAAGCATGAAGAAGAAAAAGGGGGGGGGGGGGGGAATTGGCAGAGACAACAGAAACGCAAGTGAACAGTCTACAGGAGAACGACACATCATGAAGTTTCTAATGCTCTGGATTTCCGTTTTCATTGATTGTCTTTATCGTTTTCTTTACTTTCCCTGGTAATTTATTTTCATGCAATTTACGTTTATCAACTTTAAGTTTATGTTCTTTCAATTCCTTGTCATTTACTCTTATGCAAGTTAAAGTTATGCGTTTAAGTTCCTGTTATTTACATTTCTGCAATTTCGATTTCCTGCTATTTATACTTCTGCAATTTTGATTTCCTGCTATTTACATTTCTGCAATTTCGATTTCTTATTTTTTACATTTCTGCATATTTCGATTTCTTGTCATTTACACTTAATGCAATTTCGAGGTTTCCGCATTTTACAATTTTTTGCAATTTAATATTCTGCACCACTTTTCGATTCGACATTTTTTTTACCACTTTCTGTACTTCGCGTCTCTTAATAAAAAATACCAAAAATAGTACTTTCGATTTTCAATTTGTATGATCTGTTGTGTTGGTAACATTTCTCGATACTGTGATATTTTCAATTCTCATACGCTTTTCGATTGAAAAACTTGATTGCTAGCCTAAATAAAAAGAATCTACGTGGTTAAAATTTGGTTAGAACTTAAGTCTTGATTTAATCAAAATCGATCAAATTTTGACCAGAAACACAATGATACTAAAATCGATGATTCAACCAATGACTCACTTAATAATTCAACAGACTCAATTAAAGTTAAATAAGATCATCGTGAAAAAGTGAATACCAATTGAATTTATTATGTCTACCTTTATGAAGAGACCCGAAACAAATAATTTGTGTCTTAATAAAAATTATATATTCAATCTTACACAACAAATTTAAGTGAATTAAGTAATATCTTGTAGTTTCATTACAAATGTTTTCAAAACATCTATCAGCGAGGGTTCTTTTTAGGTATTCATTACGTGTACTTTTCATAATCATTTTACAAATGTAAAATATTTTTAATTTTATAAATACTAACTTATACGCTAATCACGGATGTTAAGTTATATTAAAATCTATTATTAGATAGAGCTTTGATATTTATACAATCAATACTTCAATCAATAATCACAAATAATAATATAATAATAAATAATAATATTATATTATTATTTTTAATTGTTGTAGAAATGTTTCTGACAAAATCGATTCTCCAGTTAGATAACATAATAAAAACCTCACATTTATTTAATTATTATTATTATTATTATTATTATCATAACACAATTATTTTTATATAGTTACTACAACAAAATAACACTTATCATATTTTTTTTATATAAAAATATTATGAAAATAAAGATTAAATTATAAAAGGATTATACACACAAAAAATAATTATAAAGTTTGATATTAGTACAAATTATTCTTATTATTTAAATTTTTAAGAGTAAGAAAATAATTATCACATAAATAAAAATGTTATTAAAATAATAAGAATAAAATTATAAAAAAATGTTGAAACTAAAAATAATTAACAAAATTTGTATTTATGTATTATTATTAGTACAAAAGTTTAGATTATTTCACGAAGAGAAGAATTTGTTTTGAAAGTAAATTGTAAGAAAATTCATTGCTTAACTCGGAAGTTTATTTTTTATGGTCAGGTCAAGAAAGAAGAAGAGAAATAGAGGCACGTTTGGCATAACAAGCAAAGCTGTTTGAGGCATCGCTCTCCCGCGCCATTCCCATTGCGGTGTGATCTGCAGGTGCAACAAGAGCGGAGCGAGATCCGCGTGAAGATAGAAATGGCGAGTCTGTTCGGCTCATCGTCTTCCGCTTCGTTCAAGATGAGAGTCACCAACACGCCTTCCAGCGACCTCGTCCTCACCAACCTCGCCTTCTGTTCCCCCTCCGATCTTCGCAACTTCGCCGTCCCCGGTCAGAAAAACCTCTACCTCGCCACCGTAGCCGATTCCTTCGTCCTATCTCTCTCATATCCTTTTTCTTCAATCTATTGCATTTCCTTTATTTTTTTTAATTGAATTAATATGTTCCCCGATTTCGTTTTTCGCTGAATTGGTTACTTGTTCATTTTCTGTCATTAATTATGCCAATGCTGGATAGTGGATATTATTGCGTGGATTAACTGGATTGATGATTCTGTTTTGGCCTTAACTGAGAGATACTGCTCATGACAACATAGGCAGCGACCAGATTGGGTTGAACTCCATTCAACGGCGGTGTGCCAAAGTTTCCACTGGTGATTCCGTACAATTGACCCGGTTAGTTCGATTTAATTTGTGTTTTAGCATTGAGGATTATTGACTTTCCCTTTTTATTAGTTTCTTATTATTTTATTGTTTTTTTGACTGTTGCTTAAGATTTGTGCCTCCTGACAACTTCAATCTCGCACTGCTAACCATTGAATTGGAATTTGTCAAAAAGGGGAATAAGAGTGAGCAGGTATGTTGATTTGCAAAAGTGCAAGTTGTCATCAATTTGTTGCTAATTATGGTGGTGTGGCATTAAAATGGTTGCGATTTCCTTGTCTTGTAGATTGATGCTGTTCTACTGGCTAAGCAACTCCGGAAAAGATTTATAAACCAGGTACGGTCTTTCACGAGGTTATTTACTTGGTTTATAATGTTGGTGTTTTAGTGATCATTGATTGGTTACATTTTGATATTAGGATTCTTGTTGTCTTTTCTGATTATAGCACTTGAACAAACACTGTTTTGTTCTTGCTAGATGTTAATAATACTAATTGCAGAGTTTTGTTTCAAAAACTTCTTGTCTAGATTGACTACTGTTGGACAGAGGAAAGGAAAATGTTATCTGGTTGTTTAATAGCTTCTTTTGTTATTACTTACATAAATTTATCATTTCCCAGAAAGTTCCTGTATATAATTCATAAATTTATTATTTTGCATAGCTACTATATGTAACATTTTTATTTGGTTTTTGCAAATACTTTGAAATTCAACTTGTTTACTATACCTGAAACATTCCCTTTATAAGTAATGCAAGAATTTTGTTTGGTTTATTGTTTTTTCTTTTAGTATGAGGAATAATTTTCTATTGAGGGAAGATAGGGGCGAGGGAAGGTAGGGAAAGGAGGGGGATTCTATCGTTGTAATTTTACTTGAGTCATGATATATTCTTTGTGTATACTTTATAGTTGGCTGAAGATAAACATATTTCGAAAGTACATAAGCATGCTCATATTTATTTGTTTGATATTTCGTACATGGTATTCTGTTTGTAACCATTCTCTTATCTCACTATTTCCACAATTCGTCAAATTATTTTCTAATTCTTAGGAAGCTTGGGAACATTCTTTATCCTGTTTCTCTGTATTATCTCTTTCATGTACAATTTTTTGTTTGATGTGCTACACACTGGTTCAATTTGTTAATCTGTATTTTTTTGTGCAGGTTATGACTGTGGGGCAGAAAGTGTTAGTTGAGTACCATGGAAATAACTATTGCTTTACCGTCAATAATGCTGCTGTTGAAGGTCAAGAAAAGTCTAATTCTCTTGAAAGAGGGATCATTTCTGATGACACATACATTGTTTTTGAAACATCACGGGATAGTGGAATTAAGGCGAGTTTCCCATTTTGCTTTTGAGATCTATATATCTTGTTTTGGTCATATTAATTTGGTATATTTACAGAAAATGAACACAGTGAAAAATTTATTATTACTGAGAATAAGTGAACAGTACATATTTATGGTGTCAAGAATCTGAGAAGAGTCTTGAGGAAGCTATCTACAGTGCTGAGGCAGCACTGATGTGACTTGTAACTAAAATCCAACCAACTGAGTTACGGTTACACTGTAGGAAATCACCTACTACTAAGACTACAGTTAATATTGACTACCTTAATAATCAAATACACTTAATTATCATTTGATGCTTGACTAGTTCACAGGTCAGTAAAAAAGTTACAAAAATTTATCTTCAAATGTGAATTACAACGATGGAATGAAAATCTCACATTTTAAATACGCCAGATATAAATTACTCAGACAATGCTAATTAACTACCTTAAGCTCTAACCTTTAGTCAATATCAACATCCATGCTTCCCAAGATCAGAATGCAGAATCAGCATTGTAGTGGTGCCAAACAAAGACATTATGTTGGAAAGTTTCCTTAATTGTGGTCACATCTCAAGCCTATCAAAGCTCATTCCTCTCTGTCTGCATCATTTTTATGGATGCCAAACAGTTTTGACACCAAACTTATTGGATCAGCTTGTCTGCAGGAAAATTGTAAACGCTATACAGATGTAAATATTGATATTAATATTGAGTATTGACGTGAATTTTGGTGAAATCTTCTTTATGTCATTTAGAAAGCTAATCCTTTGCTTAGTATTGGTTATTATTTTATATAGTCCATGTAAAATAATAGCTAATACATTGCTAAGCAAATTAATGATATTGTATAAAGACTTTCAACTGTAGACTACTGATTGTAATTATCCTTACATATATTTATTGGTTTTTGTTATGCTTTGCAGATTGTCAATCAACGGGAGGGTGCAACTAGCAACATTTTCAAGCAGAAAGAATTTAACCTTCAGTCACTGGGTATTGGTGGTTTGAGTGCAGAGTTTGCTGATATATTTCGAAGAGCTTTTGCCTCTCGCGTTTTTCCTCCCCATGTGACATCTAAGTAATACTTGATATACTGTGGTTCATAAATGTGCTGTTTTTGCAGTATTATGCTGCTTTTGTAGTATTTCATGTTCTTACTTGAAAGCCTTTGAGCTTTCAGACTAGGAATCAAACATGTGAAGGGCATGCTTCTTTATGGACCTCCTGGAACTGGAAAGACACTTATGGCACGTCAAATTGGAAAAATTTTGAACGGGAAGGAACCAAAGGTGGGGAAATATCTCCTTATTCTTGTGTAATAAGTTTAACTAGTACATCTGTATAAATATCATTTCATCTCCTAATTATTGTGATTAGTGGGCTAGACATTGCCTAGCAAATATGCTTCTGTTTTCATGGTTTGTGTTAATTTATGCATCTACTATCTTCTTTTTTCTTAAAGTTATACAACATGATTGTTTTCATGTGTTGTCATTGATAATGAATCTGGTCTTAGTTTGACAGCATTGAACTTGAATCTCAGTGATTGTTGTCCGCTCTTCTCTATTTTTATGGATGTAGTTTGTGTGAGTTTTATTGGGGTGGGTAACTTTCTCCTAACATATTATCAATTATCATGCTGCATTTTTATCTTCTATACTTACTAAATTTTTGTGACATTTTTACTTTGTCCTGTGTTAGATTCCCTAACTAAGTGACTTAATTGGATAGTTTCAAATCTGAATGTGACTTCTATAGGCTGGTAATTATATTTTCTTGGTCTTAATTTTTCTTTTCTATGACTTGTACTAGATTGTAAATGGCCCTGAAGTGTTGAGCAAATTTGTTGGTGAAACTGAAAAGAATGTTAGAGACCTTTTTGCTGATGCTGAACAGGATCAGAGGACCAGAGGTGATGGATATATACCCATTGTGTATTCCTTAAGTTAAATTTTCATATAATTCACTTTTATTGTTCACTCTTTTTCAGGGGATGAAAGTGATTTACATGTTATAATCTTTGATGAAATTGATGCTATTTGTAAGGTATAAGGTTTTTCAACTTTAGATCAACATCAATCATCTATTGCATTGCTATTGTCAATTTATTGATTACAGTTAATCAGCAACAACTGAGTTTGCCTTAACTGGTGAATCTTAATACTGTAGCTTAAACTAACTTGATTGTGGTCACTGATCAACATTAGTTTTTATATTGATTTTTCTTGATGTACTTAACTAGTGGAAAATTTGTGTTTATCTTGATTTATGTGACGAAGCGCATAAGTATGATTAAAGGAGAACATGATAACATTTAAAATTGGTGGCTGCATGTAGTTTCTTGGTTATGTTCATGAGCATTGTATGTTGTGATTGAATTACATGGTATCTATGTTTCTCTTTATGCCTTGTGCAGTCAAGAGGTTCAACTCGAGATGGTACTGGAGTTCATGACAGCATTGTAAATCAGCTTCTTACTAAGGTTAGTAAAGGTTTTGAATGCTTTTATTGGTAAAAGAGACATTGCTCCTATAGTAGTCATATCAGAAAATCTAAGACTATTTGCTTGGTTTTGCAGATAGATGGTGTGGAGTCACTAAATAATGTTTTGCTTATTGGAATGACTAACAGAAAGGATATGCTTGATGAAGCTCTCTTAAGGTATTTTAGTCTTCTTCCCGCATTCTGGATATTTGAATTTTCTTCCCATGGAAAATGTAAATATCGACAGTCAAGATTACATATTATAGTTGTCATCCCATCTAGCCACACTGGTTGCTTGTTATAGAATTTTGGAGAGTTTGAGCAAAATTGATTGCGTACTAGTTTTTTTATTTTTTATTTTTTTTATTGCTTACTAGTTCACACATGTATATATTTATACTATTTATGATATTAATTACGAGTGGAATAATGTCCTAAATTAAGGGTAATCAGCACTAGTAAACTGAGGGCCAGTATTAGCTAATATTACTCTCGGTGATTAATTCAAACACTCAATGCTAAGCTATCATTCCCCCTCTAGCTGAAGTAAGTATGTCATATGTACTAAAGTCAAGCTGATGCCTTATGGATTAGATGCAATAAGTAAATGTCCTTGACTTGTCATGAATCAGTTTTACTTCCTTTATGTGTCACAACTTGAGCTGGTAAAGCTATTGCTCTAGCCCCCCGTTCATTGATTGCTGCTTCCTTGGCATGATACTTGCCATTTGTATTGACCTAAGAGCTCTGTTCTATTTCTAGCCACTGTGTCATTAATAGCAAATACAAATACCTACCTGTTCATGTGTTAAATTAGAACGCTTAATCTTGACACAATTGATTTGTATAGTAGCTTCTGCATTAGTGTTTCTTATCTTTTAGTCATTTATCATTTACTTGTGTCATGTAGACCAGGGAGGTTGGAAGTCCAGGTTGAGATAAGCCTTCCTGATGAAAATGGTCGATTGCAAATTCTTCAAATTCATACTAACAAAATGAAAGAGAATTCTTTTCTAGCTCCTGATGTGAACCTTCAAGAGCTTGGTATGTGTTCTGTGATGCCTATTCTTGTCTTTAAATATGTATAAATTTACTTTTTTGATTAAATGAAAGTTATAAAAGTTGTACATTGTGCTTATTTGCATTAGCAAAAAATATATTTATTATAGGATATTGTTCATGACCTACCATTACTCTTTTATTTAATAGTTTTGTCATATGAAATCTGAAGGGGAGTCTGGCAAATTGAAAACTAGTTCACATCTGTTCTAGTTCCAAGTAGTTTATAAAGCTGTGTAAATTTTTTTGTTTGAATTCGTATTGAAATCACCTTAGCATGGACAAGCTGGACACTGTACTAACACCGATCTGTGCATTATATTTGGGAATTGTGACATGACAATGTGAGGTGTCCAATTATTTTTTACATATTTAGTCGTGTGCAACAATAGGTGTCTAACATGGAAGTGGTGGAACTTCTTGGGAGGTGAGGGAGGCCATGACCCCCAAAAATTTTGTAACTTATATATGCATTTATGATTTTGGGTCCCTAAATTTAATGATCATTAAATATCCCTACTTTTATATTTACAATTTTGATCTCTCACTTTTTCATATTCATATATAATTTATTAGCAATGTATTATTTGGCCTTCCAAAATCATTGATTAACATCATCCGCTACTAATGGAAAAGTGTCTGCGTCATAGAAATCAAAACGAGTTTGTTTTAACTTTGGTTTTATACTTATTTTTAATTCATATCAATTGTAGTTTGGTAAAATGTATTTAAATTTAAAAAGTAAGGAAGAAAGTTTAATTTTATAAACATAAACTAAAAATGTAGAAGCTGATTCAATAGTTAAATAATTGAGAGATGAGAATTGATTTTATAATATTGAATCTTTATTAATATTACAAAGACATTAGAACCAATTCCACTATATCTAATTAACTATTTGGTGTTAGGAATAATATGACAAACATCTTCTCAAGTGGCAAAGAAATTGGCAAAACATAAATACATTCTTGTTTTTTGTGATAAGACCATCCTTTCATAACTAACCAACACATATTTGTTTAATGGTTGATGGCAGACATAAGATGCGGAGAAAGATATTATTCTTAGTCAGTTATTTTGATCACGTCAATGTAGAATCTTCAAATACTGATGTCAAGATTAATTTTCATTTTAACAAAAACTGGAAAATCAAAATTATCTGAACCCGAGCTATAATGTTCGTGGGATGTTTACTCTGGGTTTGCTTTTCTTGTCTTGTGCAGCTGCTCGAACGAAAAATTATAGTGGTGCAGAACTTGAAGGTGTGGTGAAAAGTGCTGTCTCATATGCTTTAAATAGACAATTGAGTCTAGATGATCTCACTAAGCAAGTGGAGGAAGAGAACATTAAGGTCACGATGGACGACTTTTTGAATGCACTGCAAGAAGTTATTCCCGCATTTGGTGCTTCAACTGATGATCTTGAAAGATGCAGGTACTAATTTTAGTCACAATGATGAACAGTTATTGGTAATAGGTTAACCATTTTCATTTTATTTATTCTTACCTTAATATCATTTAAAAAAATAATTATATAAAATGTAGGCAATCTAGGTTGAATACTTCTTGCTGCATCACATAACAAGCCAGTAATCTGTTACTACTTTATATTGCTTACTGCTTCTATGCTATTGGCAGAAATATCTGTTTTAGATGTAGTTGGTTGAAAATATAGAAGTTCTTAAAAGGATGGGTTTGGACTTCGTACTCTAGACTAGAGCCGAAGTAATAATAATTTCTAATCCTTTTGACAGGGTAAGAACAACTGATTCTAACAAAAATATAACAAAACCTGTGTCGATATGAGCAAAATGAAGAGAATTTTTCCATTTCTGGGTTGCTTATGCCTACTAAAAGTCTATGTCTTTCTGCTATTGGGGATTTATGCCTGTAGAGTTAATTAGCTTATGCATAACTATACATATAATGGAATGAAAAGATGGCAAAAAAGATTATTAGGATGTGTTGAAAGTCCCACATCGCCTACCTCATATCATTTGGTATGGTTTAAATACATGTTAGGCTACTCCACATATTGCCAATTGGTTTTATGTTGGAACCTTAACATGGTATCAGAGCCAAAGCCTAACAGGATGTTTGAACGCCTTTTTTTTTTCTTTAATTGATAGGAAATAATCAACTTGTATTTCCAAATGTGCATCAAAAAAACACTTTGTTGGGCCAACAAGCATCAGAACAAATACATTTTGTAGAATTTAGTATCTCCTTGCATTGTAGCCAGAGATTATTCATAAAATGACCTATTTCAAAGTATCCTTTTTTCAATTTCTTGGATTGACCTTTCCCCTCTTCGTATCCATTTTTTGAAAATACTAGCAATGTATCTGTTCCATGAAAGAATCTAGCATGAGATAAAATAAAGGAAAGTGTGGAAAACTGTGAGGAAGGGTAAAAAATTGGAGCATTCTTTCAAACTGTGTTTTTCAGATTTTGTTGAACTGTGAACATTAAATTTTGGGTTCTTACATTTATAGTCTGTTGTACAGTGGGAGCCATATGTTACTATCAATTATATAGCTAACTAACTCTACCAATAATTATATATTCTAATTGCATGATTACTGGAATTATGTAGATCAGTGAATAGGCGTATGACTAAAAGCGCAAGATACAGTATGTCTAAGTATCTAACACTCCCTCAAGCTAGAGCATATTTATTACATGCATCTATCTGATTACTTATATATAAGGAACCCACATAGACTTGGTAAAGACATCTGTCAATTGATTATTAGAATTGAAAAAGTTAATGGTGATCTCTCATGATAAAATCTTCTCTTTGATAAAGTGGCTGTGACAATACCTCTGTCGGAGATCTTACATTGACTAGAGATAATTATAATTTATAAATGAGGTGAAACCTCATTTTACACCGTTTTAGTAGGATTCAGTGTGATCCATATCCACTTTCTAAGATGGTATCAGAGCTTCTCCTAATGGTGTTTGTTGAGAGTATCACTCCATCCGTTATTGGTCGCCATTGCACCACCCTTAAATATTCAGTTTCATGTTTTCGAGATGTCCATTCCTCCATATGAGGGAGTGCGTTAGAGATCCACATAGTCTAGAGATTAGCCAAATTATAATACATAATTGAGGTGCAAACCTTATCTTCCAAGCTGGTTTTGTAGTGTTGAGTTAGACCTATATCCATTTTCTAAGGACTTTAATGTGCTTACTGCTCTCACGAAACACCAAATTGAAGCAATGTGCAAGGCATAACTTGATTGTCACAAATGAGTGCTATCCATGTAGGCATGTAGGCTTCCCAAACTTTAGTTATTTGACTAATGACCAATTGCCTAAACCAAAATGGTTCAAAAGTGGTTGAAGTCATGGCTTGATGCTCCACTTTTGTACAAGGCCTTGCAATGATATTTTGTTGATTAATTATTCCTAGAACCATGTTCTCACCTTTAAAAATACAACATCCTACGGTGGATCACTCTTAGAAAGTGTGAGTTTTAGCATTAACTCAACTTCACATAACCGGTTTGCAAGGTGAGGCTTTTGCACTTATATGCTATAATTTGATTATATCTCTAGTTGATATAGGCTCTCTAACACACTCCCTAATGCTTAGGGTTGGACATCTTGAGCATAACACTAGATGTTTGTGGATGGTCCCATAACTGGTGACATGATAGGCCCAACAAACTTTGCTATGATGCTCTCTTACCATCTTAGAAAGTGAATTTTAAGCCTAACTCAACTTCACAAAATCAAATATAAGGTGCGGTTTATATTTACTTATAGTATATAATTTGACCATATTTTTAATCAATGTGGGATGTCTAATAGAGACAAAGAAATTGGAGGTAAAGGTGAGTGACAATGTTTTCCAATATTACATGGTGTTTCCAAAAGAGGAGGAGGATGCAGCCAATGGTGCTAAATTTGAAAGGGATATGGAAGTGGTGGGTCAAACATCTCTGTTGGGGCAATAGGAAAAGTAAGAAGTGGAGTTAAAGTGGAAAACAAACTCACTCAAAGGTGGATCCAAAGAAAGTATCCAAACATGTTGGCCCAAAGGCAAGAGGAGGTAGGGTGTGAAGGGATTGGTTGAGGGGAGGACAAAACAAGAGACATAACTGAATTTGTGTGTTGATGAAGTGTATTGTCATATACTATGAGTAATAAATACGGGAATAGTTATAGATATCCTAATTTCTTGATTACCATAATTATATATATATATATATATATATATATATATATATATATATATATATCCTAGAATAGGCCATAAGAAAAGCCCAAGATACAATATCTCACAGTAAACAACAGTTATAGCAGAAGCTAACATATTCTATAACTGATATGGGGACTAACACTCAGCTATATGGTTATATATAACATTCCTTCTTTTGCCTCCACTATTATAGCAAAAAGTCTATGCATCCTCTTACCCAACTAAAATAAAGTGAAGCATAAAAAAATTCATAATTTCAGGCTATCTGAAATTTTATTGTTTGCTACTTCTAGTTGTTTGAATGAGAAACCCTAAGGGTGCTTTTGGAAAAGTTTATTTACTGCTTATTTAGATATAAGCATATGTGAAGTGCTTGGGGGCGCATATGAAAATAAATTGAGATATATGAAAAGTTTATTTACAGTGTCTTTAGATTGGCATCATAAATGTATGTCTCTTCATTTTTCTGCATTAAATCCACCAAAAATGTGTAAACTGCTCAGTATCTTTAACACTAAACGGATCTAATTTTTGGAATCAAACACGCAATTAAACTTATTTCAATAAGCTCTCCAAGATAGCTCATGAAATCAATTTATAACTCATGAAATCAATTTAACCCTTTTTGCTCTTTGACTATGAAAACAACTTGTACATGAGTGCTTACATGATAAGAACTTATTTAAGCGCTTGATGAAGCTATTTACCCAAACAGAGCCTGAGTAAATCAATGCTGGAAAGGTGTTGGTGGTGAGTTTCTTGTAGATGGATTTTGGGGGTGTCCCTTGGATAGTTACAAATATTTTTGTAAATCTGCTGTTTTATAATGTTTGACTAGTTTTTTAAAATTAGTTATTTAGTTTTATGGAAAATGTACCATAATTTAAATATAAGTCTATCAGGAAGTATTGTGGAAACCAACAAATTTGCTGTGTTATTAAAATATTTTTATGCTATTTGATTTATAGACTCCATGGCATGGTGGACTGTGGTAGTCGACATCAGCACATTTATCAAAGATCAATGCTACTTGTGGAGCAAGTTAAAGTGAGTAAAGGAAGCCCACTTGTCACTTGTCTTCTGGAAGGATCCCGTGGCAGGTAAGTCATACATGATTTTTCATCTTAATCTGATCTTTATTATAGAATGTTTCTAACTTACTTTGTTCTCACAGTGGTAAAACTGCACTGGCAGCTACTATTGGTATTGACAGCGATTTCCCGTATGTCAAGATAGTAAGTCCACTTAACTAAAATATTAATCCAGAAATCTGCATTCTATTTTAACTATAATTATGGCCACATGTAATTCATCTTCTGTAATTGGGTAGGTTTCAGCTGAAACAATGATTGGTCTACATGAGAGCACCAAATGTGCACAGATTATTAAGGTTTGTCATAGCTAATATTTTTGAGCCTTCTGAATCTATTGAGTAGTGAGTGTATATAGTTTCTGAAGACTCTTACTGATCTTACAAGTGAGCTTTTATAAAGTCAAAACCAATACATGGTTTTGACTAGCCATTAGCTTCAGTGCAAAACAATTACATTGATATAATAGTCTTTTCTGTGTCTCCCTAGCTAGTGGACTGTATCACGTAAATTCTATGGCCTAAGGTTTTTTTGTTTTATACTATTTCTGTAGGTTTTTGAGGATGCATACAGGTCACCCTTGAGTGTCATAGTTCTTGATGACATTGAGAGGTAAGATTTGTGATTTTTATTTGACCATCCTTTCCATTAATTACTTCTGAATGAATAATATTAGTTGTTTTCTCGTTCATTAATCCAGATTATTGGAGTATGTAGCCATTGGTCCTCGTTTTTCAAACTTGATTTCTCAGACACTACTGGTTCTGCTCAAACGGCTTCCTCCAAAGGTTTCTGTTCATCCTTGTTCTGTCTGTTCCTTTCTGAAGCAATATCTGTTAGAAATTCAAAAGCAAAGCTGACGGGAATAGATCTAGATTCGGTGGGTGGGTGAAGATATACTGCCATGCTACTTTACTTGCCAGTGGGCTAACCAAAATCTATCATCTGATATCCAAAATGTCAACGACAAGTTTGATAAGAATATTTTACATCTTAATGTGATATAAAGATTGACAATCTCCTTCTTGTCAAGTTTCTCTATTGCCGCCAGAAGTTAGTAATTAATTCAAATTGTTCGTGTTAGTTGAGAACTAGATTTTCAATTTTCAACACCTTGGGTATATCGATGTTTTAATGTTCGTTATTTTTTTTCTGCAATTGATGCTAGATGTACGTTTCTTTTAACTGTTGAGAGTTCATCTCCACATGGTCTATGTCGCCAATTAAAAGTTTGAAATGTTAGCAATAAATAAATTTTTTATGCTGCGTAAACCTTACTGTAGCTAATGTGCATTTGTGCTCGTGTTGACAGGGCAAAAAACTCATGGTTATTGGCACAACAAGTGAACTGGGTTTCTTGGACTCAATTGGATTTTGTGATACCTTCTCTGTTACTTACCACGTTCCGACCTTGAACACAAAGGATGCTCGGAAGGTAAACATATTTGTTCTTTACATAGTGGTATTATCTTGCCATGGTCTAATTGCATGCTAGTGACTTGTGCCTTATGAACGTTTCCTGTTATTTTTCATGCCTTTTTTTCGTTCTCTTGAATCTTAATAACAAATCAGTTGTGTCATTTGATGAAATAAATCGAATTGATTGTATCACTTTTTACAGTTTAATTGTTTCTTGAGATTATATGTCAAATTCTTCCTCTTGTAAACATCGCAATTCAAAATAAATGTTAAGCTTCTCCTTTTCATTTCTGAAATCGCAGGTCCTCGAAGCATTGAATGTGTTCTCCGATGAAGATATTGATTCTGCTGCAGAGGCATTGAATGATGTACTTACCATCACTCCTTTATATGCTTCATTTATGTTCAGATTTTGTTTGGAATAATTTAATTTGCACAATTTTTTCTATTGGAAACTAGCGGTTGGCAAAGAACATGCATTGCGTGATGATATTGGTATTCTGACAATGTTATTTTATGTTCAATTTTATCAGATGCCTATCAGGAAGCTATATATGTTGATTGAGATGGCAGCGCAAGGGGAGCAAGGTGGATCTGCAGAGGCTATCTATTCTGGCAAAGAGAAGATTAATATTTCTCATTTCTATGATTGCCTCCAGGATGTTGTTAGATTATAAGTTATGTTGATCACTTTCTTGGCTAGAGTGCATATCATCCTCGTTGAGCTGGATTTTTTTTTTTTTTAAATTCATTCGTACATCGCTTTTATTTTTTATTTTGTCAAAGGTTTTTCTGATAGTGTTGCTTGGTTGTGCTTATGATAATTTTGCGGCGGAGACATGGGTTTCAGAGTCTCTAGTTTTATATTTAGGCCTATATCCATATTTGGAATTGAGTTGCACTCAAACTTCATGATCATTATTCGGTATTCATCATCATCCAGAAGTGTTATATTGAGGTATCTCTCTCCTTTCTTTAAACCTAAGATTGTTATTCTTTTAGGAATGAACTAATCCCGAGTAACATAGTAACCATCGTATATGAATTATTAAGAATTATGTTATTTTCTTTAAAAGTCATTGAAATTATATGTTTCAATTTAACTGCGCATATGATTTTACAGTTGATAGTTATTCTTTTCTTTTTCATATAAAAATATCTACTCATTTGATGCATTTCGCTTTCTTTGTGCAAGCACAATAATTTTATAGAATCCGTGTTCATTTACAACCTATCTTATTGTATTTTGCCTTTGATGATGGTATAAATCAACTCCGAAAATAATATTTTCATTCATAACGAATTTAATTAACAAATAAGATAAGATCTTATTCTTGTGATTGGAACCGAACAAATGGCTGTTATTTATTTTATTCGAACATGTAATTTTAATGTTTATAACCTATTTAAATACTGAATGATTTTGATTATAACTTTGATTATTATGGAATTACTAAACATCTGGGATCGAAATCTAATGTCATTACTTTTTTCAAACTATAATCGATTAAAGAGTTTGTACAAAAAGCATTATAAGTAAAATTACATATCATAAAAACTAAAAGCTGCATACAATTTAAAAGGGTTTTGAGGTGAAATTGTAATTAAGATCATATGTTTGGGATATCTAAAATTTAAGATTTCAGTTTTTTTTTCTTTGTAAAATAAACTACTCCTTTCGATATTTAGAAGCCATAGATAGTTCTTATATTTTACATTTTTGCAAAACATTAATTTTTTTCTTATTTGTTTCTATTAAATATTATGGATATGTCTGTTTTTTAATTAACAAATAATTGAGAACAAAAATTTAAAATTCATGAGGATAAATTTGATACATTGGGAAATTTTTTTTAAAAATTCAACAAAATTAGTTATTTTTATTGGTGTATATGTTGGAAGTGTCTTATATTATGGATAAGAGGGAGTATATGTTTTATGAATAACCATATTATTGCTGGGAATTATTTATTGGTTTTGTCAACTATTAATCTATGTCGAATCTAGTTGGTTACTTCAGTGAAAACAAACTATATGTTTGAAGTGATAGTTTAAATTTGTAATTAAAAAAATGATTTTTGAATTTAGAAATTTGTAACTTAAGATTACTTTTCAGTAATTGTGTTTCCCTTTCAGCTTTATGCGCACTCTTCCTTATTTAGAAACCAATTTTTTTAATCTGAATGAAATTAAATATCTTAAAACTACTTTTCAACAAATTTAAGAAAAAAAAGTTTCATAACTAAAATTAATTTATTCCAATTGACTTTAAATATAAACAGTTGTACCAACACGGTAGTTTATTCCAAGAGTGCCAAAGTTTTTATAATTTTAAGAAAAATAGTAAAAATGTTTTCTTTGATAAAGGTAGTACTAACAAAACAGTAAAATATTCTAATCAAACTAGAATAATCAGTCCGATCCAACCAATTTAGATAGCATATATTGAATTGATCGGGATTTATATTCTCAAGAAGGGTGTAAGGTATGAAAGGAATCGTAGATCTTTTTTCCCTGAAAACCAATCTGAACCTTTAGCATTACTTTAACATCTAGTAATGGAATTTATAATAACCACGTTCACATTTACACTAAAAATCTAATCGATGCTCTAAACAAAGACGTTTTGTTTGTGTATTTTGCATAATTCGAGCAATTGATAAATTCAGAGACTTAATTTTCTCTAGGAATATTAATCAAATAGAGAATATATATTAAATAAAGATGTTCACGCATAAATGTAACAACCACTAAAGTAGAATATTGTTATTCTTTAAAAGCTTCTTATGTTCACACATAAAGAAAACACCAGTATAATAAAAAGTATTAAAATTAAACAAATAAATAAATATATATTCATTTTCTTGTATGAATAAATTATAAAAAAATAGAATATTTTATAATTATATTAATCTTAATAAAAATAAGGTATAGTGGGTGTAGAATAATATTTGATAAAAATAATACGAAAAAGAAAGAATATGTGAACCTTTTAAGTATGGTGGCATCATTCATTTGAAGTTGAGATCTATAAATAACACTCCACACATTGCATGCTTTGAAGATTAAAGCTTCTGCAAATCTCAAGAACCATGGTGCTTCAGTTACTCCTTGCAGGAATATTTGCAGCAACAGGTGTTATTGGATGTGGTGCAGCAGCTGTGGGCGATGTGGCGAAAAAGCCCAAGAAACACGAGAAGGAGGCAAACGAGTTTGTGTTGTTATCTTATACGTGATATGTGTTACAATAATATATACCAACTTCTTGTTTACGTTTCATATTATCTTGACTTGATTCTCTCGTGCCTTTGTGAAGCAGTGAAAAGCAGAAGAAGTAATGAAGAAGGAGGAGGTTGTGTTTGCATGGGAGTGTGATTTGGTCAAGCCAATGTTGCTGCCATGTTCTGTAGAGACACAATACTAAAGTATGAAGTGTCCATCATATAATTATAAAATAATTACTTAAAAAAAAAATTAAGCGAGTGATTTTTTTTTTAACTTTTTTAATTGTTTTTCATCTACCTATGTATCACAAGCATTTGCATCTGGTATTGACTTTAACCAAAAATAACTAAACCTCAATTGTCAACTTAATGTAGAGTGAACAAGAATAAATTAATTTTGAATTAATCACTAACCTAAATTAACTAATTTTAACAACCACCCAAATTGCGTAAACAGTTTTGAAAAGTCATAACCACGCCCTCACCGTTTAATAGCGCCGCCGGAGATTATCTCTGCCTTATTCTATACATCTGTAAAATCTAACAAATAATTATTATTTGTATGTTGGATATTATAATTAGAAATGATAAAACGGTTAAAGATGATGTTATAATTAAAATTCGCCAATTAAGTTGGTAGCTTTAATTTATTCGTTTATTTTGATTTATCAATCCATCTAGTTAAAACGAGTGGGAAGAACTGATTTATTTTTAAAAAATATTTTTATATTATAATAAAAATAAAAATGCTTATAATTAAAAATATTATATTTTTATGATATTAAAAATAATTCATTTATAGATTTTTATTTTTTTATTTTTTTTCATCAATTAACCAAAATATAATTATTTTAAGATTATCATGTGTATTTATATGTTTATAAAAGAGGGTGTGAAAATATTTTTTCTTTTTCGTATCTATCAACTTTTGGTGAACCTATTTGACGTGATTTTAAATTTGTTTCGATAAACTTACGTAGAAAGAAAAAAATTATATAAAATAATAGCAGGTAAGAAATATACTAATTTAATCGAGACCTAATAATACTTTGTTTATTTTTATTTAATTATTACCCATTGGATTTGATAGTTATTCAAATTTTATCCGTTCTTACAAATTATCTAATTTAATTGCTCCATATACCATTTAAAAATAGAAATATTGTTTTATTACCATTTTAACTTCTCTCTTCCTCTAATTCTCACTCTCACTAAGCATCAACTTTTGACTGTGTTTTTTCACTATTTCCTGTATCGAAAATGATCATAATTTTATTCTTAAAATAAACGAAATAAAAAATAATAAAAAATTAGTTTTAATCTTAATTCTTAAATAATTTAAGATTATAAACTATACCTATACAAATTTTAACACATAATATTAGAAACACGACACCGTATCACAATTTATCCACCTATTATAACCATAGAGAAAGTTTCTTAAAAATAAGAACATTAAAATAGTAGTATCTACAATGCAAAGGATAAGGATATATTATTAATGAGTAATTAAAAAAGATATAATCTTTAAATAAAGAAAAAAAATGAGTGATTTTTAAGAAATTTTAAATTTACCTTATATATATAAGACTTTGACCAGAATAAATATAAATTTTTAGGGAAGTTGTTGAATGTTTTTCATGGAAAAAAAAATCTATATATTGAGTAGACAAACTCTCCATTACTTCTAACTTAGATTCAAACATACACTAAAATATATCGTAATTTAACCCTGAAACATAAAGTAATAGGATATCCATGACAAACAAACCAAACCTTTGAATAATATTTTGGAACAGCCACTGTATTTCAACACACCATGTTGGCATCACCATCACATGGCAGAGTCATAAAAGTTCCTCTGACTAATGTTAAATACTGACATCATCACACTTCCAAATTAACAGATAGAGAAAATGATGGCTAGAAAAACTGTGTTTATTTGAATATTATTTTCCTCACGTGCGATAGAAAGTAAAAGAAAGCATGAGAAAAAGAAGCCACTGATAAGACCAACAGGAAATAGTCCACCTTCCACGGCTGGTAGGTTCTTCCTAGCTACCAAGTGGTAGGTAGAGGCTATAAAAAGAAGAGTGTGTAGAATATGAACCTGTTTAGGCAACACAAATGAATATGTAATAATGGAGTTAGAGTGTATACACTTTTAGATTAATCAGCCATAGCAAGAAAGCAAGCATGGCAGATAATAATGTGTTAGAGCTGAACCTTGGTTTAGGCAACAACAACAACAACAACAGCAACTTTTTTGGTGGTCATGCACATGCAGTGCAGTCACCAAGGCAAAGGTGCCCTGCACCATTTCTGATCAAGACTTACGATTTGTTGGAAGAAGGTGAGAGTGAAGAGAGCAAACAAATTGTGTCGTGGAATGCAGAAGGAACTTCCTTTGTTGTGTGGTCTCCTGCTGAATTCTCTGAGCTCACCTTGCCTAGATATTTCAAGCACAACAATTTCTCTAGCTTCATTCGCCAATTGAACACATATGTAAGTAACTAACTGCTACTTTACTACTAGCTTCATTTGTAGTTTAAAACTCTTGTTAGAACAAATCTGATAAGGAAAAGAAAGTTACAAAAGATGACGATTTCTTTTAAGTTTAGAATAAGTTGAACTACGTTAAGAAAGTTCAGCATATATAGATTTCCTTTCTGCATTTATGGTATGTATCAACTTGCTTGAATCAATTTTACCATATATATATATATATATATATATATATATATATATATATATATATATATATATATATATATATATATATATAAGGGAAGCATTCATAAAAAGTGGTTCAGATTGTTGATTCATATTGATTGATCTAAAGATCATACTAAGCTATGCATTTGAGATTTCCTTTGTTTTTTCCTCTAACTTTCTGTTTTCTTCTTTCAAAATTGGGAGCTAGAGGAGGTCTATATTCAAAAGGAAGTACCGTACAAAATAAAAAACCACTTGCATTCAATGAACATAAAGTCAATATATATATATATATATATATATATATATATATATATATATATATATATATATATATATAAATAGATAAATAGAAGGATGGTCAAATCTGTTATTTTTAACTAAAAGTCAAAATAGTCATACAGCACATGCTTTTCTGCTTCACGTGAATTGGAGCACACTTAAATTGAAAACAAAGAAAATGTTGCTTACTGTGAACAAAAAATGCTGAACATTAGATTCAAGAATTTTCAAAAACTTTGACAAAGATATTTTATAAAGCAGCCATTGGGAATGTATGATCAGGTGGAATATTTGTGACATTTAAGTTATAATAGTAAATTAGCCAATGATAAATCAAAATCAATACTTCAGACACACAATATTTTTGTAGTATTTTGTTTCGAAAAATAAAAATGTTGATATATTTGTACTATCTGGTGTTTTGCTGAATTTTCAAAACTACAAAACAGGGATTTAAGAAAATATCATCGAAAAGATGGGAATTCAAGCACGAGAAATTTCAGAGGGGTTGCAGGTCCATGTTAGGTGAAATCACAAGGAAAAAGTGCGAGGCAAGTGTTTTTCCTGCATACCTCAAGTCTTCTTCTGAGGAAAATGCAACAACAAGTTCCACAGAAGAAAACAATCAGCAACTACTTATGGAGGAGAACAAGAACCTGAAGAAGGAGAGATTAGAGCTTCAAATGCAGATTGATGAATGCAAAGCACTTGAAATGAAGCTGTTGGCATGCCTCTCTCAGTTCATGGACACCCACCAAAGTAAAGTTAGGAGACTCTGTTAACTCATTCACTTGTCATGGATTAATAATATTTCCTTTTATTTCCCTTTCTCTTTCACTCATCTTCACTATCTCAACAACAGCACTAAACAACTTGCTAATATTTTCAGCTCTAAACAAAGTAAGTTATAACTTGTAAGAACACTTTCTCAACAATTTCACCAATGATTAGAAACAGTTGAAAAAGAAAGAGATAAAAAAAAAAGTGTTTAAAAAAGGGAACATTGTTGCTGCCCAGGATCGAACTGGGGACCTTTAGTGTGTAAGACTAACGTGATAACCACTACACCACAGCAACTCCTGATATTAATAAATAAATATTTATAATCAAATTTGTTAATACCTAACATATTTACCAATGATTAATTTTCAATATTTATATATTCAATGTTTATAGCCTAACATAGTTAAAAAATAAGCTTAGTCTCATCCAACATTTAAGATGTTGGTAAGTGGCTTTATTTATCGTAATATATACAATATTGAATACTTAAAACTATTATTTTAATTAAATTTGGTATAATAATAGAAAAATTATGGTGCGATGATGTTTATTTTTGAAGAAGAAAGTATTTACTCTGAATACTATATATATATATATATATATATATATATATATATATATATATATATATACCTGCCAAACTAATTAATAATTTTTTTTCTATATTTTATTAACAATTAATAACATATGGTTTAATTAAAAAATATCATATTATTAAAATCCTATTGTATATTTTTAATATAATTCTCGTATAATAATTCATTTTTATAAAAAAATATTTAAAATATTTTATAAATATTATATTATTTGACTAGAGAATTTTAAAAATCAGAAATTTATTACTAAATTTGTATACTTTTAAATTCTATCTAAAAAGTTAAAAAAAATAAAATTCACTCTCATTAAAGTTTAACACTATTTTATAAAGTATGAATAATTTTATTAATATAGGGCAAAAATAGTTGAAATTTCTTGTTTTCGTGTCTCTTTCCTTATCTATTTATGAGCTTATATATAGTTTTAATCGAAGATTATGATACATGTTACGAAACGACGCCGTCAGTGTCAACGCTAACTGGGAATAGCATGGATAAAAGTAGGACGAAACGTGAAATCCAATCCATAAAAAACGGTACTCTCAGAAACAGGGCAGTAGTGAGTGAGTCACCGATGCAACTCAGTAGCAACTTGTTGGTTCCGGTGAATAAACCCCCAAAACCCTTCATCAATTTCAAACCTTGTTCCTGTTTCTGTTCAAATTCCAACCCTGACTCGCCCGAGTCGAACTCACTCCAGTCTGACACCCTTAAGACGCTGGAATGGAGCTCCGTCTGCAAGCAGCTCTCGCCGTTCACCTCCACCTCCATGGGCTCCGACTCTGCCCTCAACGCCCGCTTGCCCGTCGGCCGCACCCCACGCCAGAGCCAGAAGCTTCTCGATCAGACCTCCGCCGCCAGACTTGTCGCCCAGCCGCTCGACTTCTCCGGCATCCACGACTTGACGGACATTCTCGGCGTTGCCATTTCCGGTCACTTGCTAACCACCCGAGAGCTTTGCACCGTTCGCCGCACGCTCGCCGCCTCCAGGGAATTGTTCGATAGTTTGAAACGCTTCGCTTCCGCGTCTAATAATCCACAAAGGTATATTCAATCTTTTTTTTTTGTGGGGCTTAATTGCATTTCTGAGTGCCTCGGGTATGGCGATTGTGCAATTTCCAGTCTCTCATGATTTTGGAAGAGTTGCGTCAATTGGGTTTTTCAAGTTTTCATGCATTTACTCCAAATTGAGAAAGACATTTTCTTTGTTGTTTGTTTTTGTTATAAAAACACAAATTTACTTGAAGCAATGTTAACATGAGAATTGAGTTAACATAGGCCCTATTTTTGAAATGAAAATAAGAAGGTAAAACGTGTTGAGTTTCGCTCATAAGTAATCAATTTATGCACTTTAACTTATGGGGGAAACTTCCTATGTTAAGGACATAAGTTGATTTTAGCTTATGGGGGAAACTCACTTCGTGTTACCTTCTTATTTTTCTATATTATGTGTGTAGAAATACTTTTTATGTCATTTATTTCAAATATTCCATGTTGTAGTTAGTATTGTATTTACTCTACCATGTCATGTCTAGTAAGTCATGTTAGCTATTTTTGTTAATTATTGGATGGAATGAATATGGAGGGACCTGATTGTATATCGGAGAAAACTTGTGGGGAATCCAATTAATGCAATTGGCATTTGAATGACCAAAATTGCACAGTCGAGATATCTAAGGAACTAAAAACGTATGAAGCCTTTTCTTTCCTTGCTTTTCTGTTACTTTCACTGGCATTGGAGTCAAAATGTTGGTAGTTTAACAGTGTAACAAGTTAGCACATAAGTAAAAAAGGGTTAAAGCGTTCCTGATCAACAGTTGTAATAGTTAGACTAATGTGATAATATAGCAAGTCGTGATTAGATGTCAGTGTGGTGAACTTTTGTCTAAACAGTAGAGCAAAATTATAATGTCAATCCTAACTTGTATTGGAATTCTAGAAGGTTTATATGACTCTCATGCCTGCTGTGGTATCTATTTTGGAGCCAGTCAAAGGGATGGAAGTTGTAAAAAATAGTTTTCCCAGCATTCAAGGGGTATTTTTGTAGTCTGATTCAGTTCACAAGCAACTTCTTTTATGCATTTTGGCTAGGTGTTGTATTTTTCTTGACAAAGTTTGGAGCATAGATCATATGGTAATGGATTGACATGTCTCAATAAGGCCTTAAAAGAAAGTTTATCTCAAAAGGTAATGACAGACATTCAAAGTGATACTCTAATTGCAATCGTTCTTTTTGGGCATAATTGGTGCCTTCCTGAAATCCCAAGATAATCATCAGAACTGTTAACTTTATCATGCAATTGTTTCCCATCAGGTACTTACCCCTACTTGAAATACTGCAAAATTGTAATTTCCAAGTGGGCTTGGAGCATAAAATAGAATTTTGCATAGATTGCAATCTTTCAATAATTCTTGATAGAGCAAGTGAAGACCTGGAGATTATCAGATCAGAAAGAAAGAGGAACATAGAGATTTTGGATTCTATGTTGAAGGAAGTATCCACCCAAATTTTTCAGGCTGGGGGAATTGACAGACCATTAATAACTAAGCGTCGATCAAGAATGTGTGTGGGCATTAGGGCATCCCATAGATATTTGCTTCCAGGTGGTGTAGTTTTGAATGTCAGCAGTTCTGGAGCAACTTACTTTATGGAACCCAAAGATGCAATAGATCTGAACAACTTGGAAGTTAGACTTTCAAGCTTCGAGAAGGCCGAGGAAAGTGCAATTTTAAGTATGCTTGCATCTGAAATAGCAAATTCTGAATCAGATATAAAGTATTTATTGGATAAAATCCTTGAGATTGATCTTGCTTTTGCAAGAGCTGCATATGCTCAATGGATGAATGGGGTATGTCCCATATTCAGATTAGGTAGTTTTGAAGGTTGTGATTCTGATGATGAAGACAATGATATTTTGGACCCACAAGGGGATGACAATTTAAATGTAAACATTGTTGGTATACAACATCCATTACTCCTGGAGTCCTCTCTTGAGATCATGTCAGATAACTTTGCAGTAAGATCTGGAAATGCTGCTGCTAAGTCTGGTGATGGAAATGGAACAATGGCTACTAAATATACGTCACATAGCATGTCTGACTTCCCTGTGCCAGTTGACTTTAAAATTGGACGTGGAACTAAAGTGGTGGTGATCTCAGGGCCTAATACTGGAGGGAAAACTGCTTCCATGAAAACATTGGGCCTGGCATCACTTATGTCAAAAGCTGGAATGCATTTGCCTGCCAAGAACAATGCAAAACTTCCTTGGTTTGACCTTATCCTTGCAGATATCGGAGATCACCAGGTAATATCTTAGCTTTTATATGGACAATAAATACCAAAGACTTTTTGTTGATCATGCATTTGTTTCATATGTTGTCTGATCTTTATCTTTTCCTCCAAATTGAAGTCCCTTGAACAAAATCTCTCAACTTTTAGTGGGCACATATCACGTATTTGTAAGATTTTGGAAGTGGCCACAACACAATCACTTGTTCTCATTGATGAAATCGGTGGTGGAACTGATCCTTCAGAAGGTGTTGCTCTTTCTGCCAGTATCTTGCAATATTTGAAGAATCGTGTAAACTTGGCTGTTGTAACTACTCATTATGCTGATCTAAGCAGTCTGAAGGAAAAGGATATCTGTTTTGACAATGCAGCAATGGAATTTTCACTGGAAACATTACAACCAACTTATAGAATTCGTTGGGGATGTACTGGTGATTCAAATGCATTAACCATAGCACAATCTATTGGCTTTGATAGAAATATAATTGATAGGGCACAAGAATGGGTAGAGAAGTTTAAACCAGAACAGCAGCAAGAGCGTAGAGGAATGCTTTATCAGTCCTTACAGGAGGAAAGAAAACGATTAAAGGCTCAGGCTGGAAAGGCTGCGTCCATTCATGCAGAAATTATGAGCGTTTACAATGAGGTACAATCCAGATGCTTTTCTGGGAAGAGATTCTCTTGATTATAATTTGTTTTCCTTGGTTGACAGTATAACAATCAATAGTATTCCTTTTCAAATTTGTCTGATGTTTGCGTCCTTGATAAGTTAGGATGCAGTAAATTTACCAGAAAATCAAAGAGTGATGAAGATGATGTACAAATAATCTAGTGTCTTGTAAGTGGTAACCTTTAGTAGATATGACCAATCCTTGGAGGATGATCCAACAAACGTTAATTTCAATATTTTTTGAGGGAGTTACCAGTAGAATATGGCTTTCTTGTTGACTATATCCACCAATTATAATATAAATAAGCAGTAAGTTCTTCCTTCCAAAATGTTCATATTGCATTTATTGCCGGAAAATTTTTGTTCAGCAAAAGAATACATGAACATTTGTCAGCAGGCTTTGATCGAATATCATTGTATCTGGATTTGCTTAGTTTTCATTTT